TTTTTATCTTTACGTGCCTTTATTATTACTCTGTTTATTTTAATTTAATTTTATTTTATTTTTATTTTATTTTTTTTTGACATAGGGTTTTATTGTGTAACTCTTATCTGTCCTGGAATTTACTCTGCATACCAGGTTTACTTTGTAAATCACAAGAGATCTGCTTGTTTCTGTCTCCTGAGTGCTGGGATTAAAGGCGTGTGCCACCACACCCAGTTCCTCTTTGTCTCTTTAAAACCATATTTTTTTTATGTCTACGTATATTTTAAAACACACTGTAAACCTTTAGAGGTTTTTTTTAATATGAATCTGTCTTTACTGTAAATCTTTATCTTCGTCTGGCCACAAGTCTTTTATCTGGTAAACAACAATATTGCTAAAATGAAAGTCATAGCTGTGTCAGCCGCGGTTTACCAAAGATGGCGGCGGGTACTTTTACCCGCCAGCACAGAAAGCTGTGCTCACCGCCTTGATCTGCGCTGCCACCCAGAAAGCATTCTGTAGGCTTGGAGATGTGGTCATTGACATTGCCATCTCTCATACACACCAATAAATTGTTAGCAGAGTTATTTAAAAGCTGTGCGGTTTTTTTGTCGCTTATGCTGAATCAGGAATCTTCCCTTAAAGGAGCCGCGCGAATATCTGCTTGTCTCTAGCAAAGCAGAGTTTAACTGAGAAAAATGCTGTTACCAAGAAACCTTGCTTGTCTCTGTTTTTTTGTTTTTAAAACTCTTTTTTAAGCTTTTGTTAAATTTTAAGTGGAAGTTCTTATTAGCCACGTGGGCGCCATTTGTAAGGCGTACGGTTTTTCCGCCTGCCGCCGCTGGTCTTGACCCGCCGCCACGCCGCCAGCCCCAAATAATACACAGAGACTCTGTATTTGATACAATGCTGTTGGCCCGGTTACTTGTTTCTTATCGGCTAGCTTTGCCTTAATTATTAACCCATTTTTGTTGATCTATGTATTTCTCTTACCGGGGAGCCGGCGGCATACTGCTCTCTCCAGACTCTCCATCTTGACTCCTCCTTACTACTTCCTATTTCCTCCTTGTCTCCTAGTCCCTCCTATCTTCCTTTCCTATTGGCCAACAGTGCTTTATTATTAACCAGTATGAGAAACATATATACATAATGGCATCTCCCATCACTCCTCCACTGCTGGTGAGAGTGCAAACTTGTACAGCCATTTTGGAGATCAGTATGGCGGTTCCTCAGGAAAATGGGAATCAGTCTATCACAGGACTCGGCAATCCCCCTCTTAGGCATATACCCAAATGATCCACATCCATGCAACAAAGACATGTGTTCAACTATGCTCATAACAGCAATATTTGTAATAGCAAGAACCTGGAAGCAACCTAGATGCCCCTCAACTGAAGAATGGATAAAGAAAATGTGGCACATCTACACAATAGAATACTACTCATCTGGGGACAGGGGGGGGCAATGGAATCTCAAAACTCTCAGGCAAATGGATGGAACTTGAAGAAACCATCATGAATGAGGTAACCCAGTCACAAAAAGAGGAACATGGTATGTACTCACTCATATATGGACTTTAGACCTAGAGCAAAGGATCACCAACCTATAATTCACACTGCCAGAGGAACTAGGATACAGGGTGGATTCTAAGAGATTTATACAAGGTCCCTCACTGAAGGGGGAAGGGACAAGTTCTCCAGAGCACATGGGGAGTGGGGGGGCAGTGAGTGGAGAGGGAACTAGGAGAAAGAGAAGGGGAGGAGAGAGAAGCATGTGGGACTAGGAAGACTGAGTCGGGAGGAATAGAAGACAGAAAAGAGAGGGAGGGAGAGAGAGAAAGAGAGAGAGAGAGAACATAAAAGAGGGAGCCATTATAGGACCGAAGAGAAAACTGAACCTAAAGAAATGTCCAGAGACCTAAAAGACTGCTGCCAACTAACGATTTGAGCTTCCGTGGAAAGGCTACCATAAATGCCCTTCCCTGATAATGAGATCAATGATGAATTTATCCACCATCATGGAGTCCTCATCTAGTACCTGTTGGAAAGAGAATCAAACACCCACAGCTAAACACTGAGTCAAACTATGTTTTTATGACTGTCTATACCCATTTTCTTTTTTGTTTTTAGTGCCTGTTCAAAGGTTTTCTCAATCTGGACCTGGTTTCTATGCATCTGCAGCCATTCTCTGACCATGTAAGCCAAACATTAAAGGGACAGGACACCCTCTGTGATACCCAGAGAAACTGTGGTTCTGGAGCTTTCCTTGTTCCCAACTAGGTCTTAAAATGTAAATTAACCCATTTATGTTAATTTATGTTCAGCCTCAAAGAAATAAATGCTTAGTTGGGTCGATGTCATATATAATTGAGAACATAAATATTTGATTAGAATTCCATAGAAACAAGACACCTGGATTGTGGTGAACATTGTAGGCTTGTATGACACAGAATATGATCTAATTTTAGGACTAGCAGGACTTGGGTCCCAGTTTGGTATATGTGAGCAATCTCACAAAATATAAAGTTTTATGAACCAAATGAAATGGTGTGTTCTAAGGACCCTGAATAGATTAAGTTAGACTGGGCAGTGCATGGGGAATAGAGGAACTGACCTAGGCAGTGTATGGGGAATAGAAGGAGCTGAGTATAGCAAGAACATTCTGGAGAACCAGCTAGTCAGTTATAATTGTCACATTGGGGCCCAGAGGTCTCAAAGGCCACAGTTGATAAATAATTCTGTTGCCACGGCTGTTAAAAAGGTATACACAATGTCCAGAGGGGAAAGGGTGGTTTAATAATACATCAGGTCCTTGCTAGTCTTGGTTAGGGTAGGTAAGTCAGAGTGCAGTGGAGAACATTTCCTTCTTTATAGTTATGTGCCTGGGCAGGTAAGACTGTTGGAGAAGGGTCATGTACATAGGTAAGACTTACCTGAGATCACAGCAGGGCTCCAAGCCCTCCATGGCACAAAAGAAGTCAGGACCAAAGAAAAGCATGTCTCACATGATCTTCTAGATAGAACTGAGGCAGGTAAGCCCAGTTATTTTCTTTCCCAGAATTCAGTAAGTACAGAGTTGGTAAGCTTTGCAAGTTTTACACTCCCTCCCAAAATTCAAAATTTCTGAGACAGAAAACAGAACCATGGCCAAAACTGTGGAAACTAGATGAAGAACAATTTATTAGAGGGCTGAAGATGGAAGAGGATTCCTGTATGTATGTATGTATGTATATATATATATTAAATTTGAATCTATTTTAATATACTTACATATCTATCCCAGTTCTCTCTCCCTCCCTTCCATGCCCCAACCCCCTCCCATCCAATCACCCCCCCCCACTGCACAGGGAGGGTGAGGCCTTCCAGGAGAGATCATCAAAATCTGTCAAGTCATTTGGAGTAGGGACTAGGCCCTCCCTCCTGCCTCTAGGCTAAAAGATCCCTCCATGGGGAATGTGCTCCCAAAGTCCTTTCATACACCAGGGATACATCCTGGTTCCACTGTCAGAGGTCCCTTAGACTGCCCAGGCCTTCTAACTGAGACCCATGTTCAGGGGGTCTGAGTCTGTCCAATGCTGGTTTCCCAGCTATCAGTCTGGGGGTCCATGAGCTCCCCCTTGTTCAGGTCAGCTGTCTCTGTGGGTTTATGTAGCCAGGTCTTGACCCCTTTTCTTATCACTCCTCTCTCTCTGGACATGGATTCCAGGAATTCGACTCCGTGTTTAGCTGTGGGTGTCTGCTTCTGTTTCCATTAGCTACTACATGGAAGTTCTAGGAGTATTCTTCTTAATGAGGCAAAGTTCTGTGTGGGAATCAGTTTTAAAGAGCAATATATTCTTTCAGACTTAGAATTTCAACTGAGAAGACTGTACTCACTTTATTCTTTGGTCTTATACTACAAAATGTTGGTGAGTTATTATTAAATATGTCATAAAGGAGTCTTAAAGATCACCATAAGTATTTACAGGAAACAAATAAATGAGTTGTGATTTTTCTAGAATGGGTGTTGTGTTGGCATGAGAGAATGAGACAGATTAAGTGTGGTGTGATTTCTCCAGATGGTGTAGGCAACAGGGAATGATGGGGTCTTAGAAGCATAGACTGTTGCAAAGTGAGTACAGGATGATTTAGTGCCTGCTCAGTTTTCCTTGAGAGTTCAGTTCTCCAGAGGCTAATGGGAAGGTGGCATATACAAGCATAACAAGGGGGAGCTGAGTTAGATTTAATATTTTTTAAACATTTAAATTATCTTTTAATGACATAGTGTTGATCTAACTCCTTTGATCAAGTGTCAAGCACTTAGGCACTGGCAAATCTGATCATGTTGATGCTCTCTCTACATCACAAAGACTGGTGAGTATCTATGTTCATCTCTCTGTGTGTTTGTGAGTGCCTCTGATTATGAATGGTCTCCACAAACAACGAAATATGCCTGCAACTCTGATAATAAATCCAGCGCTTGCCCAACACTAGAAAGTTCTTGTACAGCCTCTATGTTCAAGCCAGCAATAAAGTTATTGGATGAAAGGCCAGATACTGTCTTCATGATGGAGGAATTGATGATGTGGTTTTATGATAAAGAAGATATGTTTAAGTTTAATAACTGACTGATGTTTCTGAGGGGGGGGTCTGTGGATGTTGCAGGGGTGTGTGTTTCTAAACACCAGTCCTCACTTGTGTGGCATGAGCTAACTTCTGTGCCATTGCCACTCAGATTTCACACTAGTTTTAAAGCAATTTCCATGGTACTGTATGGGACCAAATCTCAGTGTAGTGAGAACAGGGCCTAGAGGCCTAGTGAAGTCTAAGAACAAAGAGGGAGCAGAGATATGGTTCAAACACAGATGATATAATTCCTAATCCAGAAATATTCTACCTAAAGTAAAAAAAAAAAAAAAAGTAAGACTAGAAGGCTGGAGGAACTTGACCTGAATAGCAGAATATATAACAAAACTCATGATTTAGGACACCTTAAGGAACCTTGTAATCACTGTATGGACCTTGTTTTTCATAGGATGCCCCGATTTATCCTCTGGTACTTGTTCATGTGAAAGGCTATGGGAAGCTTCAACACCAGCTTGGGAAGAGGCTTCATTTTGGTGGGCTTCTCAGACTGGCCTCAACTAGAACTCATCTTCTTTATTTACATTTTGATTTTCTACACCTTAACTCTCTTTGGCAACACTGCCATCATTGCTCTGTCCCGAATGGACCTTCGATTACACACTCCCATGTACTTCTTCCTCTCCAATCTCTCCTTCCTGGACCTCTGCTACACCACCAGCACTGTGCCCCAGCTCCTGATCAACCTTCATGGACTTGACAGAACCATCAGCTATGGTGGGTGTGTGACCCAGATGTTTGTATTTCTTGCTCTGGGCTCCACAGAGAGTTTGCTCCTGGTGGTGATGGCCTTTGACCGCTATGCTGCTGTGTGTCGTCCCCTGCACTACACAACCATCATGAACCCCCTTCTCTGTCAGGCATTGGCTATTGTCTCCTGGGTGGGAGGCCTCATGAACTCCCTGATCCAGACAAGTCTCATGATGGCCATGCCCCTCTGTGGCAATCGACTGAATCATTTCTTCTGTGAGATGCCTGTATTCATCAAGTTGGCCTGTGAAGACACGGGAGGTACAGAGGCCAAGATGTTTGTGGTCAGAGTGGTCATTGTTGCTTTTCCAGCCATGCTCATTCTGGGCTCCTATGCACAGATTGCCAGGGCAGTGCTGAAGATCAAGTCAGCGGCTGCACGCAGGAAAGCTTTTGGGACATGTGGGTCCCACCTTGTGGTGGTTTCTCTGTTTTATGGCTCAGCCACCTACACATACTTACAGCCCAAGGACAGCTATTCCGAGAGCAAAGGAAAGTTTGTTGCTCTTTTTTATAGCATCATCACCCCCATGCTCAACCCTCTGATTTATACCCTGAGGAACAAGGATGTGAAGGGGGCTCTGTGGAGGATACTAGGGAGAGGCACAGACACGGGATAGGAAGGGAAAGGTGATCAATTAAAGCATTTTATGTTCTGTGAGTCCAGAGGGTTTCAGTGGAGAGAGGAGATGGGTGTCAAAACAATTGTAGGTAATTATGTACATTCCTGAAACTGTCAACGCACATGAAAAAGAAAACCAACAAACCAAAAACTGTCCTGGGCTGGCAAAACGGCTCAGCAGATAAAGGCACCCACTGCAAAGTCAGAGGATCTGAGTTTGATGCCTGATTCCACATGATGGAAAGAGATATTCAAGTCCTCTGAGGTCCACGTGCATGCATGCGTGTGTGCATGTGTGTATGTGTGTGTAATAAATAAATAAACTTACTAAAAATTAAAACAAAACAAACTGTCCCCAGGAGGCATTGGGACCTTAGTGCTGTCCTTGTTCAGAAGTTGGAGTGGGGACCTGCTCTCTGGGTTACTGCCTGTCATCAACACTCAGCAGATGAAATGTGAAGTCAGATACAACTTCCCATAGAAGGAGACTGGAAGAGGTTTATTGTGAGCACTTGTGGAAACAGGCTGGGTTCTGGGCAGGGAAGAGTATCCTGTAAGCAGTTGTGGGAATGAAATTGGTTCTTGGCAAGTCTTAGTGTCAGAGGATTTTTAATTGTGAATTGCAACACTCAGAGTCAGATTCCCTATGTTGTGTCATACAGAGGACACTATGACCCAAGGCAGAGGGCATGAGTTCACTCTGATTTTCTAGACATTTTGTATTTTCATATCCATATATTCCTATGCTGCATTTTGACCAAACCCACCCACAGTTCCTCCTTCCAGTTTCTGTCCTTTCTCTCAACAACACTTTTCTCTCCCAACATCATGCCTTTAAGAAATTTATAACCCCGTGGGTCACCTGCATGTGCATGGATGTGGAGCATCAGGTCTAACTGGGGCCTCAATATCACCTCATTTCCTAATGTATCAATTATGCCAGACTCAATCTGGCCTCAGCCATAACTCGGGGTCCTTATTTGAAGGTTCCCTTTGTTAGTTCTTACCATTCTTTGCTTGGATTAAGAAATATAGCATGTGAGTTTCAGACATGGGTTCATTTTCCCTCTTAGAGAAAAAGGCAAAATCATGCTGCAACAAAGCAAGTCAAGAAAATTTCCTAGCAGAATCGTGAGTATCTGCTGTGCCACTGACAACATTCATACCCTGTTATGTAGAGAAGAGAAAAGGAAAAAGGATTAGACAAATAATAATCTGAGAGGAAAAATTCAAAGAGCTCTATAATTTATGCATGTACTGATGCAAAAATTTACATAGAATAAAAATCTGTATTTGTTAGAAAATTAGTAATGGAAATTTAAAAGAGGAAAAAGAAGAGGCTACTGTTTATCCTTTGACCAGACTTGTGAAAGACTTGGGGTCTCCATTTAACTTCTCTTCATCTCTGTTTTATTTGACTATCAGATTTCTATCACTGTGGTTTACTTCCACATATTTAAAAGGTCTTTTTATGTTTAAAAGTGCAGGTACCTTTGTTGATAGACTTTTGTAAGCATGATAAATTCTGTGTTAACTGAATCATGTTTTATTATTATAGTTTCCCACTAATATTGCTTACGTTTGGAACTCATTTTGCATACAATGTCATTAATCCTTTCTAAGCACTGCCAATTTTGTTATATTGATATTTTGTTGTAATCTTTGGTTGATGCAGAAATACAGTTCTCACCTCAAAAATGTGTTTTGTAAATTTTCCTGGGTAGATGTGCATAAACATCTATTGACCTAAGATAGAGCAACCATGACAACCAAAGAAGTTATTTCACCCAACTGTAGCTTAGCAAACCAGTGAATTTTATTGGATTACTTACAAGAGTGTGGAGAACTCAAAGGCAGCTGCATCATTACCAAAAAGCCCCACTCTAACACAGGTGATGACTCAGGAATGCTCCCCTTTCCGGACTTCTCTGTCCAACTTGCAGGTTTCTCAGACAGTCAGAGTCTCTTCTCCCTAGCAGTTGTCTCTGCTTGTAAAAGTTTAGGGAAGGTTGTTGTAAATCTTGTTGGTTTCAGGAACTTCTTGAGGCTTGTTAGTTTCCTTTACTTTCTGAGCCTAAAGGAACCTCCCTCTACCTTCAAGGTGGAAAGGTTTCAATGCAGAGGAAAGAACTAAAGAAGACTACACCTCTTCTTTTGGTGCTTACATTCATTCTGCACCCTCTTCTCTAACTGTCCCTGAACCTTGATACACATGTTTGACAGTCTTTCTCCATCTACACCTTAGTATTGGGCCACTATGTAAGAGCAGCAGTCATTTTGTCTAAGAAGCATGGGCAATTGTGAATCTGCTTTGTACTTCTTGTTGGAAAAGAGAAGTCTCCCTCCATGAACAATTGAGCCTAACAGTAGTAATGATCTATAAACACACACACACACACACACACACACACACACACACACACACACGCGCGCACGCACGCACGCACGCACGCACGCACACACATTTCAAAGGTAATTTGGCAGTTGCTTTATATTCACTTAAGAAAATAATAGTACTAGCTTCCTCACTGGAACTTCTAATCTCCTCCATCTGGTTTATAGTGCCATTTGAGGTCATAGCTGAAGAATGGACCCCAAAATCAACTGAAAAGCAATTTTCCCATTATGTTGTGCCCCTATTACAACAGTGTACATAGCTTGCCTGGCATATTGGTAATGTTGCACATGGGGTCCACTGCTGAGTAAAAGCAGAGATGACAATTCTCGTCTGTAAGCCAATGTGGCAACTCTAGCACTACAAAAGGCTGCTGAAAGGGAGAGAGCTACCAGTTTTGTCATAACTTTATTTTCCATGTCTCATAGCTATTTTCCATGTCTCATAGTCTTCAGCACTAAGGATGTAGAGTCTAGAACTAGCATCCACCAACACAATCATCAATACCGTCATAACCTATGCGGCTTCAAGGACCCGGCCAACAGCTCAGAGAAGAAGCCCATTCTTCTTAGTAAATTTTTACCCAACAACCTTAAGGCTTCTGGGAATGTCTCTTCTCACTCATGTGTTGTGTATTTGTCTAGCTCTTTAAGTGATATCTGTATAGTTCTTCCAGTTGTGTTTACAAATCAGAGAGATGTTTAAAGTTTAATAACATGTAATGAAACATTTTTGCAGACAGTGGGCAGGATCTGAAGACCTGCCATCATCCATTTTAAATAAGTGCCAGTTGGTGTTGAGCAGAGTGGAATATTTAAAGAGAAATATTAGCAAAGTACAGTAGAGTACCAATGGATCTCTTCACTTCTACCTATCTTTTAGGTATTGGGGACAGCAGCATGCATAGAAGACACCACCCACCCCTTAAACCATCCTCATCCTGGGGTACCTTGCTGGTCACTACACATCACACTACCCATGGTGGTCTTGGCATGGCTGGCTTGTGATGCTCAGGCTGGCTCAGGCCTGAGGGCTGGTATGCCTGAGCTGGTATGCTTGCATGTTGAAATGGACCCTCAGTTCTGACAGGCCACAGGCTAACACTGTGAGCCTTTGCTTCCATTGGCCCTTAACAGGACGTAGGCTGGATAAACAATCTGTTTCCTTTGCTTCCTATGTACCATGTGATCTGGGTAGGACTGCCCAACAAGGACATGCTTAGTATTTTCTCCTGTGAACCATTGGTAGGCTTTATATTTCCCCAGACGCAGCACACTGGGCGGCCTGTCAACTTTTCACCTAGGCGTTCCAGTTGATACACAGTGATAAAACAAACAAACAAAAAACACAGTATCTTTATTTTTTTTAGCTTTGCTATGGGAAAAATCAGGGTATCAAATAATAACTACTAACTTTGCAGTAGAAGTTGCATGAGGGCAATACAAAACTTCAGATTTTCATGAACAATTATTCATCTTCATGATAACGATCTTAAGACTGAAATTCCATGGAAAGAAGATATTTGGATAATGGTGACCTTGGTTGGGTTATGTTAGACATGGAATATAGTCTGATGGAAAGATAAATTCGATTTGGGTCAAAATATTGAAAGTATGGGGGATATACTAACATCATTTTGCAAATGCATATAAAAAGGTGTCACTTTGGATTGGGCAGTGTATGAGGGATAGAGAGAGTTGAGGATAGCAGATAGATCGTGGAGAACCAGTCAGTTAATTGTAATTGGCTCTGGGAGCCCCAGAGGTCTCCAAGGCCACACTTGAGTAATCAGTCATGTTTCCACTTCTATTAAGGAGGCCCAGGCAATGTCCCAAGGGTGGGCATGGCACAGGCTGCCTTAAGGTCAGGTGGGATGATATACCAGCTTCTGTGAAGGGCCAGTTGGTTATGGTGAGGGAGCCAGAGAACTATACAGGATATTTCACCCCCCCATTAGTTATGGGCCTCAGCAGGTGAGCCTGCTGGAGGAGATGGCTTAATGTGCAAATGATTTCTCCAGGATCAGAACTGTGATCAAGCCTACCATACCATAGACGCAGTTGGGACCAAAGAGATTCAGGTCTTTCCAATACACTTCCAGATGACATTAGTGTGGGATGGGTTTCATATTATCTATAAGCCAGCAGAATAAAGGGAAGTAAATACAATTTTCCTCTGCAGGACTGTGACTGTGGTGAGTACAGACTCAGTGAGATATCCTGAATTCATAAACCTCCCGAAACTCAATTTCTTTGGTGGCTAAGATTAAGTTACATATACTGGCATAGAAAGAGAATAGATATCAAGTTGAAAGATGGATGCTTTTGTAATGAGGGTGCTTAATAAGAAATCTTCCAATGTCCAAATGTCTCCTATCTTCAGACAGACAACTGTTTTTATTTTTCTTCTCGATGTAGTTCCACTACAGACAGACAATATCAGCAACTCTGTATTGACATGAACGATGTTCTTTTGTCATTTCTGATATCATGTACTTTACTACTGACAGTGTTGTTTAGTGGGAGAAAATGTGCCAAGTGTGTGAGGAGCCTTGGGATTGATTCTTGGCACTGCAACCTAGTTTATTACTTATGGAAACCATG